AATGATCTACTTAAGAGAATTAAGTAATTGCCACCCTTGAATGTGATCCATTTCCTCATCTCTTCATGAAGTCTTTGACTGGTGGTGAGTTTTCTTTGTCCTTAATGGATTTAGGACACATTCTTCTTTGTGTAACTTGCTTTTCATAAGACAAATAAACCAGACATTGTAGCACCTACCACACACAGGAAAAAGAAAGATCTGTAACCTGAAATCTCTTCTCCCTCTTCTTCTTCACCCTTCCATGAATTTTCTTAACCACCCATGGCTTTTAGCAGAGACTATTGCTTGTGTGTGCTGCAGGGGAGGAAGACATTTCCTCTTCCCAAATGGGGGTTCCTCTGGCCGGAGAACGAATTAAATTCACATGAGACAGAATAGCAAGAGAAAATTAAACGAAGCTTTATGAGGAACCATGGCCCGGGGCCTTTCTTCCCGAAGGAAGAAAGGGCACTGAAGAAGTGGGGTGCACATCGTGGTTATATACCCCCAAACAGGGTGTTTCACATGTGATTGAAATGTCCCTCCCACAATAGTCACAAGATTGCCCTGTGGGCACAGCGCTTGATGGACCAGCAGGTAGTGGTCTGCTATCTCGGTGGGCGTAGCAAGAGGCAAGTCTATTGTCTGGAGCTGGGCGGTCACAGGTGAACGCAGTAATCAGTTCCTAACCTAAGGAAAGATGCTTAATCCTTAAAGAAATGCCAACGCTGGGAGGGGGAGGGAAGTCAGTTACAGGAGGTTACCAGACAAGCACAATAAAATGCAGATTTAAGTCCTTGCCTTTGGCATGGATTAAGAGTTTCTAGAAAGAAGGTCATCGCCTTTCTTCTTCCTGGTACAGAGAGGGAGGCACCTTTTACAGATAGAGATTTACCTTACAAATGTAAATGTGTCCTAACAAAGGGCAAGTTCCATTCCTCAGAGCCTCCTTCCCTGTCCCAGTTTATCAAAAGCAATCAGCCTCAAATAATCTTGATGCCAAAGAGACATATCTTGGGGTGGCCATTTCCAGGTCCCCACAGTGCAAAACATAGTGAGATCTATCTTGTAATGAATTCTAAGCAATCCATACAGTTAAACCTAACATCCTTTAAGTTAGAAAAGTCATTTTAGAACATATACGTGCCGTTATCACCTTGTATGAGATTATATCACACTGTATTGCTTAAACTCTTGAGCAGTATCCTCACTTATAAAAGGAGATATTTATAGTATCTACGTCATAGGGTTTTGTGAAGATTAAAATGAACATAAAGTATGTAGTTAATTGCCAGGGACATGGTTTAACAAACAATAAAGGGTACTTAGGTGTTGTTAATTATTACTTTGTTATTATCAGCCAAGCTGGTTTTCCACCTACGTCCATGTTTCTCCTGACAAGACATAGGTAAGAAGAAAGTACAAAGAGTAGATTTTTCCATACCTTAAAATTTACCTTCTCAAACTTTGGCTGGAATCCTAGAGAGACAGGATTCCTAGAGCACAATTAACTTGTCTTTGGATCTTTTCCTGCTTACAAACTGTCTAATTTGATACAATACATCAAAGGATTCCAACGAGCTTTTGAGGTTTCCCTTCTGGCGAGCTCACGAGGGTCCTTTCTCAAATCTTAATCTTCAGAATTCCCTAATAGTAATTTTACTTGGCATTCACATAGCGATTTGTGGTTTTCAAGCATTATTACTTGACATGTCAACTTTATAACATTCCAACAATAACTCAGTAATACTATTTGTCTAGAAGAAAGTTAAGAAACCAAGAATTAGGTGGCTTGACCATTACCCCTCAGTGAGAAATTCAGGAATGGAATGGATTAGATCTCCATGTTTTCTCCAATACATACTGCTACTCCCATCATCACTGAGTTCAAAATAACCTTATTAATATCCAGGAGGCAGGCACACAGTTGAGAATCTCTAGATAATTATTATTATTTTTATCTTGAAGTTATTGAATGTTGCTATGGGGACACAGCCACCTTGCAATACCCTTTTGCTGCCTGGCACAACTGAAAAATAAAACCCACAGAGCATTCCGATGCCAGATTTGGGCCTTTTGTTGAAATCTCATCATGGTCACACCTGTGGATATTCACTTGCTGATGACTATCAAAATGGGCTCCCTTTTTCGTTTTGTCTCTTCTTTTCCTAGTTGTCACTTCTTAAACCTGACAAAAAGCCAGGGGTAACAAAAGGCAAGAGAAGAAAGTGGGGAATGTGTGAACTAGGGACTGGAGTTCATGAGAAACCTGGTTCATTCATTCAAAGCATGACAACTTCATAACTGGGACCTTGTATTGGATGTCGAGCCAGCTCTGTGGCTCCTGACCAGTCAACGGTAGGTCAGCCTTTTGGGGGGGAGCGCCCCTTCTTGGAGGAAATAAACCTGGTTCCAGTGGCCTAATAAGTCCAGGGCATGATGACATCTGTGCTCCTTTTAAAACTCAAGGATAGACCACCTTTTTCTATCTAAGCCGTTAGCTTTTAAAAATGCTTAAAAACCAATCAACAACTAAATTGCATCTGAAGAGCTATTTCAATTATAGAACTGGAGGTGGTTCCTCAGCAACCAGAAGCAGTTAAGAGCCGCAAAAATTAATGTGCATTCGAATGCTGATTTTCAGAGTATAATACACTTTGTAATTCATTTAAATGTATTCTGTGTGTTTTATTCTAGCTTAAGGCACAGCAGCAGTCCTTGACTCATCATAAAACTACATTTTAAAGTTTTTTTTTTTTTGAATAGAAAAGTATTTAAAACCTAAGAAGATAAACTGAGCGAAAATATAATTGGGCCAAATCCGAATATAAATGGGTTTTTTCCTTGAATAACATCACTTAAAAGCACTCCTGTGGAGTGAATCCTAATCCTTAAAGAGACAACCTGTAGTTTGGATCTTACCAATAAAAATCTCATCTAAAATTGCCTTTTCCCTTGTCGCCGGACTTCGGACACGGTCATTACATTGTCTATCCAGGAGCCATGCTCTTCATCAGAAGCTACCGACCAGGCCATAAATCCAGTAGCATTGGTACCTCCGTGGATGGTGTGTTATCAAACTGAGTTAACCAAACAAGCGTTTTGCCCCAGAGAAATGGCAAACAGCACAGATGTCAACAGCCCGAAGGAAGTTAAGTCAGCTAAGCAAACAGCTGCTTTTGCTCAGCAGTTGCCAAAACCCGGATGAAAAGAATGTGTGAGAGAAAGGACGAGGCCAAAAGCACAGAAAAGAGGTCCAAGCTGTCGCACCAGGCCCTGGGTCTCCCCTCTGAATCTTTAACAAGAAGTTGGAGGAAGGATAAATTGCAACCACAGAAACACATGACCTCCCTTCCTTCTATTCCTTCATCCTTTCACACAGCCAATGAGGGACCAACGTTACGAAATGGAATGACTGCAGACTCACGGAAAGAACTGTTCACAGAAAGAGCTGGGCTCCCTAACCAGCCCCCAAAAGTGTACGGAAAGTTAGACTCCTCTGCTTTGTTCTATAGTGTCTTAACTATAACAAAAGAGCTCATGCTTCCTGGGGACTTCAAGTGTCATAGGGGATATTTCCCACTCTGATCAGTCCTAGGTTAAGTATTATTTGTGTTTGACTTGCCGGTGTTGCATTTTAATCAATGAGTTGCACAGAATGATGACATTCTCTGCCTCCCACTAACTCCTCTTTCCTGAGGTTTATTCTTCTCCTTCCCTGAAGTCAATGTCGTGATAAACTGAGCCAACCAATGCACTGAAGACAGAAGCTCCTTCCACAGCCCACCTGGGGGCTGCCCTCTTCCAGAACATTTCTGATGTTCTGGGTCCCAGGCAGAAAAGTGAAAAGGCCGTTCATTTATTTAGCAAGCATTTATTGAGCACTTACTATAAATGCATTTTGCTGGGGGTTATAGGGAAATGAACGCTGGGTGAGCCACAGCCTCCTTCACCAAAGAGAACCAAGTCTGACAGGTGGGAAATTTGGGGGGACTCTGTATTTCTCACCTAAAAATAAAGGTTTCCTAGGGTTTAGAAGAGCGGTTATGGGATTTAGTTGAACTCAGAAGTCACGTTTAGAAATGTAATTTGGAATACACTATGAGCATCCAGTTGGGATTGCCTATCCAGAATCTCTGAACGTAGGAAACGAAGAGCTCTGGGATCTAAAGAAATCTCGGGCTGGCTCACAGGCTTGTCTCAGAGTCTGGTTTGAAGGAGCTCTGTGTTACCTTTAGTTACCTCTTCCGGATAACTGAAGCCTATACAATTTGCACACTGAGCCGTGACACCGCTTGAGCCCTCTGCCCTGGGCCCTCAAGGGCCCCCTCTCCCCATGCAAACTGACCCAGTCACAGCGCGTGCTGGCCATGAGACCTCCGTTTCTCGGCCTTCTATAAGGAAACCATTGAGTCTGCCTCCGAGCCGTACACAGTGGTGGCTTTCACTGAGAGACCCACTGCTGCTCCCAACAGAACTGGCAAACAGAACGAGCTATTTATAAGCATTCTGGTGGCAATTTCCACAGCCGGGAGGTGAGGCTGGTTTCTGGTTTACGCCTTTCTAGCCAGCTGTCCCTCGTCATTTTGCACATGCCGGCATGACATTTCCCTCCAGCCAATTTAATCCTGAGAAGTTTGATTTCTTTCACACGTGAACGAAAAGTAAGTCTTTGACTTGAATCATCGCTCGCCCCTTGTAAAACTGTTATTTCACGGGTTCCATCTAATTGGTACTCAGATATCTTACTAAGCTGTGGGGAGGTAACGTAAAGTCTCTTTAAAAAGGTTTTTAGGGCTTAGCCTGTGGTGTTTCTTTTGTTGGGTGGGTGGGAGAATTTAGCTAAGAATTTGGGGAATAACTGGAATCTGAACGATTTTTTAAAAAATAAGTGTTCCTTTTATTTCCTTTTCTACATTTTATTTATTTATTTATTTTGAGGAAGATTCACCCTGAGCTAACATCTGTTGCCAATCATCTTCCTCTATTTTGCATGTGGGTCCCTGCCACAGCATGGCTGACGAGTGGTGTAGGTCTGTGCTGGGGAAACCGGGCTGCTGAAGCAGAGCTGGCAAACTTAACCACTATGCCACCGGGCCAGCTCCCTTGTCTACATAGCTTTAAAGACTAAAGATGCGTCCAAGGTATGTACTAGTAGCTAGTTGAAAGCTCAACACACTGAAAAACAGATAGGGGAAGAATGACATCCAATAATTCGAATGTCTGAAGTTAGTGGGATGATACCAAAGACCCGCCAATATGAAACAGAGAGTCATTGTTCAGCGAAAAGCTGGAAAATGGCGTGGACAAATGACAGATGTGTGGACAAGGGTTGACATAATCTGGGTCCTCGAGAAACTCGAACTGTTATAAATCATAACAAATCTGTGAGATTCTCTGGAAGTCAGTACAGCCCGAGCTCTGGCTTTTGAGCAGGAATGGCAAGCGTCAGCCAGCCCCTCCTCGCCAGTGCATTCTTGGGAACTCTGCACCAGCCCTCAGGCTTTCTGGTTAAACACTCTGTTAGTGACGTGTGGGGCACTTAGAGGAGCTTAAATCACACATCATGAAATGGGTGAGAATGTAAAAAATGAAAGATAGTCTAACCGTGAAATTCTTGGAGTTATTTGAAATAAACCTGCCATAAACACGACAAAAGTAATATTTTAATTGTAGACCTGAAGGCAGGAGGAGAGGCTGAGTCACGGCATAAAAGTTTGTTCCAGAATAAAACTCTACCCATGTCCCACTTTTTCAGTGTGTTCAACAAATACTCATTGAATAAACAAGCAAATTAATTCATGGATGAGCGTGGGGCACCAGGATAAGACCAGGATTTAGAACTTTTCTGAGAAGGAAAGAATTTAAGTCGATTCAATAGCATCCAAGATGGCAGGGGCAACATTTCTTGATTAAAGTGCTAAGAGGACCCAGATTGCTCTCAAGTTTTCTTTGTATTCTTAATTACTGTGGAAGAGGTAGAAGCAAGTTAAGACATAGTGGCCACAAAATGTGGAAAGCCCAGAAGTTTCACAAAAATGGTCCTGAAGCTCTATTGACAGCTTCTCCAAAGCCACTGTAAAATTATCATCTCTTTTTATTACAAAAGCTTTCAAGGACACAGAACAGCATGGAGAATGAGCTGTGTTGAACATAACCTCTAAACAAAGCATGGAGATAGAGGTAAATCTCTTTTCTTTCCTTCCCCAACTCTTGTACCTCTCTCTTTAGAGAAATAACCACTTTCATGTAATTGATGTTAATCACCCCAGCAGTTTTTTAAAATTAAATTTACTTGCAGATGTATGCATCCATAAATTATGTATTGTTTCGCATCTTTTCTTTTTGGTTTTTTATGAACACCACTGTCCTATAGATATCTTTCTATAACTTGCTTTTCATGCTCACCTTTGGGGAATTTGTCCATGTGGATTTAGGGAGCTCAAGGTAATTTGCTTTAACTGATGTATAGTATTTACGGTACTTTATGAATATGCCATCATTTACGTCTCCATTTTCCTGGGGCTGTAGACTTCTGTCACCTTTATGTTTTTAGCTATTGTAGACAAGGCTGCCCCAAACATTTCTGTTTCTGTTCCCTGAAGCAGACAAGCAGGACTAGTCTCACGGCCACTTCTCCACCTTGCCTGCACGCTAGAGAGCGTTCAGAAAGATACCGACCCAGGCGCAAGAGCAAAGATTCCGCTTCAATTCTTCTAGGGTCTACCTTCTGGAAAGAGAAGACAGAAAGTAAACAAAGCTATAGATTAGAAAATATCTGTAGTGATGCAAGATATAAGGAAAATAAAACAGGGTCATCATAGGGAGCCTGGATCCAAAGAAGTGTCCTACGGAGGTGACATTGAAGCTAAGATGGGTGACCGAGAGCTCACTATGCAAAGACCTCAGAGAAAGAGCCTTCCTATGAGAGGAAATGGCTGAAGGAGGCTTGTCATTTTGAGAAAGAAAGTTAGTATGTCTGCCAGCCTGCTCCTACAATTGTGGGGCTAGGGTAGGAGGGCCAAGGCAGGCCCATGGGCCATATACCTAAATAGTTAAAAGTCATAAATGGAGGAAACTGTTAAAGAATGTATGTTCTATATTCCTACTTTAACAAATATATCATCATCATGACAAAATTAAAAAATAAGGGTAAAACTATGGTTTCTCTTTGAGGGAAAGTCATCAAAATAACAACAACTGAATTTAATTATTATTTTATTTTTTTTGAGGAAGATTAGCCCTGAGCTAACTGGTGTCAATCCTCCTCTTTTTGCTGAGGAAGACTGGCCCTGAGCTAACATCCGTGCCCGTCTTCCTCTACTTTATACGTGGGACACCTGCCACAGCATGGCTTGCCAAGCAGTGCCATGTCCAGACCCGGGATCCGAACCGGCAAACCCCGGGTTGCCGAAGCGAAACGTGCCCACTTAACTGCCGTGCCACCAGGCTGGTGCCCTAATTATTTTTATAGTGGGTGTGCAGTGGATGGACCAATGATGCTTGGATGAGTAATAAAATGAAAACATAAGCAACTCATAAATTTTATTCTATTAAACCTGTGTTGTTGGCTTTATTTTAATGAAATCATTATTTATGTTGTTATAATCACTGTTCACATAGTTTGTGTTATTGACAGCAATGATCCAAAGGATAAAAAATATATATTTTTTTTGACTTAAGATACACACAATTTAAATATATGTTCATTAAAAACATAAATTAAAGTAAATGTAAAAAATTTTACAAGTTAACATTTGTTTCTTATATTTTCCAAAAGGTTATTTTTCTTCTGAAGTACAACCTATAATTAATCAATATCAAAATATTCATTCAAAATTAAGTCAAGATGAAATTTTAAAATGTACATGTTAGGAAATTTTTAAAAATCTTACAAAATATATTTATAAAAATGAAACTATAGCAATTTAAGAGTTGGATGTACATTTGGTTGTTAATGTAGGAATTGGTATCACTTTTCATGTTATTTCTAGTCCCAAATTGTTTTAAAATATAGGTCTTATTATTATTCAGGGATGGTGAGGCCAACAGATCAGGAGACGACTGATATTAAAACATGGCTTGTTATACTCACAGATCCCAAGAGAAGGGGGCACGCAGGGGCATTGAATGCCACGCCACGAAAGGCCATATGGAGAGGCACGAGGATCCATCAGGATGCAGAGGGAGCAAGAGGAAGATGTGAGCCCCAGCCTTTATTGTGGTTTCCACGAGGCAGGGTAAGTTTTACTTGAATAAAATGTGATATAACAACAACAAAAAAAACCCTAAGGAAATAAAAATAAAATAAAATTTCCACTTCTTTATTTAAAATGTGAGGGGCCGGCCCTGGCTAAGTGGTTAAGTTTGCGAGCTCCACTGCAGCAGCCCAGGGTTTCATCGGTTCGAATCCTGGGCACGGACATGGCACCGCTCATCAAGCCATGCTGAGGCGGTGTCCCACATGCCACAACTAGAAGTACCCACAACTAAAAATACACAACTCTGTACCAGGGGGACTTTGGGGAGAAAAAGGAAAAAAATAAAATCTTTAAAATGTGAGTAAAATAAGTAATGCTGCTATGAGACACAGTTATACATTAAGCGAGAAAAATTTGTCCGGACATCAAAGCCTTTTCAGATGGTGGGTTTACAACAGCATCTCTCGAGAGCAGGACAGCAACAGGCGTTTGTAAACATGTCTAACGAGAAACAGTTCTGTCAGAACGCTGCCGATAAGGCTGAGAACTTGCAGCACAAGTTACTTGAAGGTAGATAAATTGTTTATGATATTTTCTATTAGAGTTGATGAGAACACAGATAATATCTCCCAGTTAGCTGTATTTCTTCATGCTTTCGGTTGGCATTTTGATATGATTAAAGTTTGATAAAAACCCTTGGACATAGTGCCTATGATAGCTGCACACAGCAGGACATGACGTGTTGTGTTGTATCAAGAAGTTTTGAAAATTTTGATGTGAACGGGTCCAAACTAGTAAGCTGGAGTATGGAGACAGCTTCTGGAATGGTCATGGTCAATGTCAGGCTTGCCACAGTACTTAAATCAAGAGGGTAACAGTTTGCAAGGGCCCTGTATGTAGTTATTCGTTAACTCGTTCACCCAAGAAGAAGTTTCTACTAAAACTTTAAAAAACGTAGCACAGGGGCTGGCTGAGTGGCTGAGTGGTTAAGTTCGTGTGCTCTGCTGTGGCGGCCCAGGGTTTGGATCCTGCGCGCAGACATGGCACCGCTCGTCAGACCACGTTGAGGCGGCGTCCCACATCCCACAACCAGAAGGACCTGCAGCTAAGATATACAACTATGTAAACGGGGGGGGGAGGGGGGAGGCGGTTGGGGAGATAAAGCAGGGAAAAAAAAAAGGAAGATTGGCAACAGTTGTTAGCCCAGGTGCCAATCTTTGAAAAATAAACACATAGCACCATGACCACTGTCTGCTCCAAAGCCCAAAGTCATAGCTCGTGTTTCTTGGCCTCAAAGTGTGGCAGGGTGCCATAATGTGCAGGTCAGGGCAGTTGGTTTTGTGATGGTGACAAAGAGATTTTTATTAATTTTTGGAAAAATAGACATATTAATACAATCCAAAGCAAAATATCACGACATCCCACCAGCAAAGAGTGAATACAGATTTAGCCTTTCAGGTTGATGTTAACCCATCCTAAGAACTTTGAACTCTCTACAAAGTTGTTAACATGGGGGCCAGCCCCATGGCCGAGTGGTTAAGTTCACGCGTTCTGCTTCGGGTGCCCAGGGTTTCACGGGTTGGGATCCTGGGTGTGGACTTAGCGCTGTTCATCAAGCCACGCTGTGATGGCGTCCCACATGGCACAACCAGAAGGACTTACAACTAGAATATACAACTATGAATGGAGGGCTTTGGGGAGAAGAAGAAGAAAAAAGAAGATTGGCAACAGGTGTTAGCACAAGTGCCAATCTTTAAAGAAAAAAATGTCGTTCACATGTAATTTCATAAGAAGCGAAACATCCCTGTTTCCATTTCTTGAAATGAAAGTGAAACATTTCCAAAATTATAGATTTGAAGACTAAATGACAGAAAATTTCTCAGATGACAAACTTTATGAACTAATATTGTCAATTCATGCTCTGCTTTAATAATCATAATTTGAATAAAAGCTACCAATGGAAGTTATTGGACGATACGACAAAGAAAAGTAAATATAATGATGTTAGAAAAGCAGGATATTACGAAAACCTCGAGATTAGTTACTTGAACTAAAAAAACCACTGTGCCAGAATCTATCCTCGTTTAGCATCCCTACATTTGCGAACAGCTGTTTTCCATTATGAAACCAAATAAAACTAAATGTCACTGCCTGTTAAAGGATTTAAGAGTGAACACAGAACTCAAGACTTGACAATGTCATCTTAGGACCAAAAAAACCGAGAGAACTGTCAGGTTTATGCATCCTAACCCAAAGCATAATGAATTACTAAATAAAAATACATGAAAATAAATTGAAAAGTGTGATGCATTAGATATTAAAATGTTTATTTTTCAAGTTCATATTGATAATATGATCTCTACTATGGCATATATTTCTATTATGACCTTACAACAACACATCTGGAAAAACAGACTAGGATTGAATATATTTCTGCCACTTGATTTTTCTTACATTCAATCCATTTCATTTCTACCTTCCAGGCCCCATAGACCGCCTAAGTGTGCAATCCTTGCTCTAGATTGTGAGTTCCTCATGGACAGAAACCCTGACAGCATATTATTCAACCAGCTCCCCCCGTTGGTTCATCTATGATTCATCAGTGATTTAACAAATATTTCTTGATTGCCCACTATCTACCTGGCACTGTAGGTGGAGCTGCATTTAGAACAATGGATAACACAATCCTGGCCTCTGGGACCACAGATGCCAGCTGGAAACAGAGTTAAGTATTCACCTAATGTTTGAATTGAATTGATTGGCTGTCCAAGTCCTACCACGGCAAAAAAAAGTTTTGAGTTACAGTCTGCAGAACCCAAGACGTTAGTTGCAATGTATAAGGTAATATAACAGCTTATAAAATTCATCCCCAGGAGGAAAATGATTCCTGTCTGCAAGGTTTGATTTGTGAAAGCGTCTGGCACAATGGGAAGCATCAAGGTTTGCATTCAGGGTGACTCAAATTTAAGTGCCTGAAACTAATTAGTAAATTAGCATACAGGCTCACTCACCTGAGCCCTCATGGAGGCCTTTCCTATTTTGCTGCAGAAAGTAAGCTTTTCCCGGGAGACGCAACTGAAACATACATCTGAACAAACATGGCTTTGTCTTCGCTGACATCTGAATCTATTTCTGTCTTTCTTATCACATTTGAAATCCAAAGGATTGCATTTCTAATCCTGGTGCATTCAGCTCCACGCAGTCAACGCAGTGGATGGGGGCACATTTTCCCCACACGCAAACTTTTCTTTAGGTTAATTGTCTTTTAAGACGCAGCTGGGCTGATGTCACAGGAAACAGAATGGCAGCTCTTTGCTGAGCTACGGAGTTGCTAGATTTAAAGGCATAGATGAAAATTAGAGATGACGTAGAGGGTTTTGAGGTTGAAATGGCAAATATAGAAAATTAATGTGCGCATTCTTACATTCCCATTTTAAGAAATATTCAATTTCTTATCTTTAATTAGAAGAACTGAGAAAGGCTTTCCATCAAAGATCGAATGAAGAATGAATAGAATTTATTAAGTGAAGAAGATGAAGTACAAAATAGAGGCAATTCAATCAGGATGTGCAAAGGTGCAAAAGAATGAAATATCATGGTGAGTGAAAAGGAAATAGAAATTGCTTAGGTGGCTGAGAGAGCAGGAAAAGAGCAGACTTGGGGCTGCCAGGGAGCTGGGACTTAATCCAATGGCTCTGGGGTCCAATCACCTTTCAAGGGAGGGCTTGCTTCAGAGTCACCAAGAGGGATTTGAAAAAAAAACAAAGAACTTGTCTTTTCTGGGCAGCACACCTGGCGATTCAGATTCAGTAGGTGTGGGATTGGGGCCCAGAAACATTTATTTTTGGAAATTCCTTTCTTTGTTCCAGTTCAAGATGGCGGGCTGAGCACAAGACTTTGCCTCCCTTCTCCACTTCCTCCCCAAACCCCATAGAAATTATAGTAGAGAAGGACCAAGATGAGTGACCTACAACAGAAAGGAGAACCGCAAAATGGCAAAGGGGCTGGATCTGGTAATCTGCTGCTTAAAGTCGGAAAGAGGATAGAAGCAGATGGAAAATAAAACCCAGTGGAGGGAGCCATGGCCCTCCACCGTGGGAGAAGGCTGTTGGAAAAGCCACAATTTCTGGCACAGCTGCAGAGAGTCTTCAGAATTGGTGTAAGCAGGAGTGCGTAATGAATAATGTCACAAAAAAGAAGATGATGAGAGGAGTGTCTAGAGAACAGTTGAAGCCTCACTTCCAACTCATGAAGAATAACTGGCAGCCCGGCCTTTAATGATGTGGAATAGATGCTCTCTGAAAGAAAAGCATTCGAGAAATCCAAGAGATGCTATTTCTAGTCTGATGAGCTTCTCCCCAGCTGGGAGCATGGGACCAGCCCAGGAAGAGAAACCCTCCCTACATTTTCCTTGGGAGCTTTGAGAATACCCCCACCTCTTGACAAGTACCCCAGACTCACGGACCTCACCAGGGACCGAGAAGAAAGCACGGAAGGAGATGAGATAGGAGCCGGTGTTCATACACAGCTGCTGCATCCCACCCACGGGGCACCAACGATACATGCTCTTTATGGTCATTTCTATTAACTTATTAGGATGGAACAAAGACTTTAATATAGAGCCCCCAAAACAACGCAGCTGGGTCTGTGGGTGTCCATTCAAACAGCGGCAGTGGGGTTAGAATTTTCCCTTTAAATTATATCTCTCCGGAGAGGAGGCGTTCTCTGGCTGGTAGAGTGGCAAAAAAGAATCAAAATTCCCATGTGCAATTATCTTTTATTATCCTTGTTTGTTCACTGGAGAAGGGAAGAAACCAGCATTTGCAGGCTGGATTCGTGCCAGAAGAATCCAGCACTAGATCTGGTTCCAAAGGGTAGGGGTGGCCGGGAGACCAGAGTTCAATGTTCTAAGGGGATCCTATCTGTTCTGTGAAGCTCAGCGTCGAGAGAATCCAGACCAAGGCAAGTTTTGGGAACTGGTGTGAAAGAGTCCTCAGTCACTAGCTAGAAAGGGTATCACTCCTTGGGAGAGCCTACTGACAGGAACACCAAGTGTTTGCAGGGCTCCATCCGAATGGGCTGAGATGCACCCATTGCAACAGGAGGACCATAGAGAAAGCAGCGGACCAGGCAGAAGCCCAGTCATCTGAACTGGACAAATGTAATGTGCACGATGCAGATGCCTCAGGAAGCAAGCCCCAGATCTGTACGCACAGGCTGCTTGGGATTCCCACCAGTTAGGACCACCATCCCATACTGGACCCCACTAGACTGTGGGTTCCAACCTGAAAAACTGGTCCTGCTTTGGACAGAATGGGTTCAAAAAATCTCACCGAGCCCACAGTTGGAAAGTCCTCTGTGATTTCAGATGAGAGAGCTGAAGAAAGGAGAGAACTCTTGTTCTCTAGTATTGAGAAATTAAGTAGCTTTTTTGGGGCAGAAGCCTTTAATTTTTTCTGGAAAATAAAAATGTTTAATGCAATGGTATTTAATGTCCTTCTCTCTCCAGTGAGGTTTTGTGGCTGATTTTCACACCATGGCTCCCTGTGGCCTTTGGGTTCTTTCTCCCCAACACTCACACCCAGCCAGCCTTCGCCCAAGTCCCATGGATGCTCACACATTTGCTGGGAGTGAGGAGAGCTTGGGAGGGGGGGTGGAGAGTTGAATGACCCCTTTGCACGGATCTCTAGTGAGTTTAATTCTGGTAGCTTCTGACCTCCTCTCCAGCTTTTCAAGAATCATCTCCTGCTCACAAACTTGGCTTTGTTCACCAATGAATAAGGCACTTTTCAGTCTACCATCCCTGTAGGAAACCAAAACAGCCCGGGGCCGGGGACAGACTAGTACAACATTTGCACAATCTCCACCCACCCCCATCTGTCCACAATGGCCCATTGAAAACCTGTCTTGGATTACCAGCTCCAGGCTTGGGCGGTCCGATCAAGAGAACCAGTTGTTGTAAAGACTCCTTTCTCCATTTAGATGTGTGATGGCATTCCACATAGATATGTTTTTGTTTTTGCATTTCGATATTCATTTTCTGTCTCTGGCGTGACTCCCCAAGAGACTTGCACACATTCTGGCTTTGGACACTCCGCTTTTGAACCACCAGGCACACAGGTATTAGTTTTAATGTCTGTTTGCACAAGTCAGCCCTAAAGTTTAAAATACAATGGAATTTCTCCACGTGGTGGGATTGCAGTTGTAAAGTGGCCCTTTTATGAATTCCAGGAAAATAACAGAATCTTCGCTTCCTTGCTGAGGATGCCGCAGTCGCGGCTGCTACCTTGGTTACAGCACCGTGAGACCTCGACAAGCTGTTAATTTGAATGGAGAGTTTACATTTTATTTACAGAAGGCAAACCTAGGTATGATGTCCGCTAACCACAGGAGAGCTGAACTCAGTGAGTTACCTGCTTGGCACTAAATGTGCTCCAGGTGAATAGTTCTCAGTCTGCTTAGAGCAACGATGCAAATGATAAGAGCTTGTGGTGCGTGAAATAAATTGGACCCTGGATCTCTCCATCACCTCAAGCAAAGACCGGTTAATCAATTCTATAGAGAGATGCCCACCTCCTCTAGGCCTGGGAAGGGGGTCAGTTTGTAGGGAGCGCCTGCACATGCCCGCGGGTTGCTGAGCACACCAGCAGATGGACACCTATGCACTTCTCCTGGTCAGAAGCCACAGGCCCAGGGCCCACATCTGTGGTGTCAGGAGCTTCTGGATAATTCCTGAACCGTGTGTGGGATTGCTGCCGACGTTCTCCTCCTCTCAACTGTTCACCTGTTGAGAGCTTGGAGGGGTGAAAATGTCACAAGATGTATTCATGTACCTGCACATAGACACTTGAATCAGAAATTAGCCCTTGTAATGGCGGAGAGAGATGGTAAAGGCAAATAAATAAAACAGCGATGGGGCAGGCAGGCTGAACAATAGCAAACCGGAAAGGAAGGAAAGCCAGAAACCAGGGGTCAGCTGGTAGGTTGGAAGCCAGAAGACCATATCAATAAAGACATTGATGCCGAGACATCAGAGTAAATAAGCAGAAGATACAAAAGGGGATGGTAGTTTTAAAATTATCGGCATGTCCTTTGACTCACCTCCCACAGGAGGTGGAGTCTAATTCCCTCTCTTTGAATATGGACCAGCCTCTGTAGCAGAAGTGACACTCCGTGACTCCCGTGGCTGGGTTTCTGCCTGGCGCTCTCTCTGGAGACACATCTTTGGAGCCCTGAGCCACTGGACAAGAAATTGGCCACTGTGAAACCACTGTGCTAGAGAGACCACATAGAGGTAGGTCTGCCTGGGTAGCCGCCCATATGCCCCAGATCAAAATAAGATCGGTTATTTCGACATTTACCGGAACTGCAGGAAGAGCAATTGGAATTTCCTTGGTACCCACCAACTCCAGCTGGCTAGGGAGGAGGCCATCGTCTCTCTGCAACAATGGTTCTCAGCCTTTTTGTGTCCTTGACACCCCTCTGGTTACTGGCAGCACGCTGGAAGGGATTAAATTGTATCAGTGATCAGCACGGTGTTCCCCTGGTCACCCTTCAGCACTGTATTGTTCTCTGAGCACATTGTCCACTGCCCTGAATGTTTGTAACAGTGGCTTTAAAAGTTAATTGACAATGACCCACAGTAAGAAGTTTATCTCACATCACATCCCAGTACCCCCGTGCATATAGTTTATAACTATGTGCATGACAGAAACAAAAGTCTTATAGCAGTTACATAAGAGCACTCCGATATTTTTTTTTTCTGCTTTTTATCTCCCCAAACCCCCCCTGTACACGGTTGTATATCTGAGTTGCATGTCCTTCTAGTTGTGGGTGTTTGTTTTTAATAATGCCAGTCACGACCTGCTAAATTCATTTCATGACCCACTGGAGTCATTTTTTTGTGCATTAAAAAATACCCGGTATTTTATACCTTTTTTGTGTGTGTGTGTGGTGAGGAAGACTGTCGCTGAGCTAACATCTGTGCCAATCTTCCTCTATTTTATCTGTGGGACGCCACCACAGCATGGCTTGATGAGCGGTGTGTACGTCCGCGCCCGGGATCTGAACCTGAGAACCGAACCCCGGGCCACTGAATTGGAGCATGAGAACTTAACCACTATGCCACCAGGCCAGCTCCTCTATTTTACACTTTTAAGGCAAAATTTATTGCAGGTCATGTAAACACATGATTAGTATTCTATCTAGTGTTTCTCAAATTTTTTCAACCATGACTCCTAGTAAAAACCACATTTTACACCATGCCCTGTTGTACACAGATAAAAGTTTCACAAAGCCACATCTCCCTTCTAGATGGATGCACTCTGGTATTTGCTTCTTTAGTTCACTTTTTGAGTGGCTAGAACTGAGCAGATTGATGTCATCATCCACAGGTTGAAAAATACTACTCTAATATTACTGGAAGAGTCCGTCCGTTCACTGTTGCCCCTGAAAGGCACATTCATAATTGCATGTCTCCTCGGTTGCAATGAAAACTTCCTTCACACATTGATCAAAATGTGGCATCCTGACCTTGCAGGGCAAACCAGGGCTACAGGAAAAGGACAAAAGCATCCGCAGACGTGAACACTGACTGACCTTCTACACCAGCACGTACACACATGTGCACCTGCAAAGCTTGAGGTCGGCACAGCAGGTAAGTGTGTGCTAGCGATGTGGTCACTTGAAGACGTGGTCACTATATCTGCACTAACCACTTTAGTCTCTGCTTCCTGCACACCCTTGGGTCCCCTGCATTGTACGTAGGAGAACGTTTAATGGAAGTCATTTATTCTGCACTGTCTGTAAAAATGCATTTCCCCAAGCGAGTTACTTCATAGCTCAATCTTGCTATAGCACAGCAAGTACTCATCATTTTCATAAGCACTGATCCTACATCCATGCCTTACCACTAGATCTGTCTTGCCCAGTAGTTTTAAAAGTGAAATGTTTTGGCTTCTTTTTTTCCATTGCAAGAAACTCTGACTCTATGTTTTCATGACTGCTTTTCTCAAAAACATATGATTTTCACCTGAACCCAAGGGCTATATTCCCCTAACTTCCCGATTGCTTCTTGCGCTCCAGCATGAGAGTGGAAATCTGATGTAAGTCCAATGACTAAGACCTGTCAACAAAGGATGGACCTTCCTTAAGGATTTTGAGAGTCAATGTGCCATGCAAGCATAGCTAGGACAGAAGTTGGTATTTACAATACCCTCTGCCTCTGGAGAAGATTCAGCCCAAGGACCACCCATGGTTGGTTAAGAGGGGTGCTAAGTAGGAGGTTGCAAATTGGAGAAGCAGAGAGGGTGAAATTGTTCTACTAAGAAAAGGAATATGAAGAAGGGGAGAGCATGACCCGGGAAGGGGGCGAAAGCTGAAACTGCACCAGGAAGGTTGCTCAAAAGAGGACTCGTGGGAGGAAAACTACTCGAAGGGAAGGCAGGCAGAGAATTGCTTCAGGTCACTTCAGGGAGTTTTCCTGTGCAACACATCCTTTGTTCTAATTTCTCATGAAAGCATCAGTAAAATCAACACTGCTTGTCTCCATTTGTAGGACCGGATTTGGCGTGTGGGTGGGAAAGCCCTGAGCCTGGCACGGAGTCAAAGGGAAGTCTTCTCACATGTGGGTTTTCGAGAAGATGGCTTTTCAGTGGTAGATGGCAAACCAAAATCAAACAATGAAATAGGACAGAATTCCAGTCCATCTGGCGCGGGCAAAGGAGAAGATGCAGCAGGACAATGGATGTACATATGTTCTCTCTTTTCTTTTTCCGAAGAGATCCCCCTTGGAATATTTTTGGACAAATGTTCAGGTGTCACGGTCCCTCTGTGGGAGAGACCTTCAAAAGCCCATTTTTCTCCACTCCAGCAAGCAAACGGCTTTAGGAAGAAGGGGAAGGAGGCAGGCTGGAGAGAGGAAGGGAAGGGAGTGTAGACAACCTGTCAGCGAAATGCATCATCTTAGCTTGCATTTGGTGTGAACACGTATGTTAATGCCCATCTGCTGAGAAAATCCACCAGAGATTTTCGGTGTTTCCACGTGATGATAGGACCCATGTTTCCATTTCCTCCCAGCTGCCGGGAAGGGGCCCCGCTTCTAAGAGAAAAAAAATCAATGACGTCCCTTCGTTGCCTGGTGCACTAGCTCTAATTTCTAGAGCTGAGGATAAAAATCACACCTCCGAGCACCAGGCCTTGGAGCGCACACCTGTGCCTGAAATAGCCTCCTAAATGGGGTATTAGCGGTCTCAGCGCAATTGCCTCTGCTGCCGTTGAGTGACTAAACATCCTTGACAAAATCACTTCCTTTCCTACCGTCACACTTTCTCCAACCAAGAAGATAATCTCCTTCCCTCCTTTCTGGAGGAAAAATCAGCAGCCTTCTTCGCTGAAGTTAACCCTTTCACATCTTCCCTGGACACCTTCGCTTTATCTTGACAAAACTCATGGTCTGTTTCATTTCTTGATTCTTGTTCTCCGGAAACTCTTAGCATCACTTGATGCTCTCAGACTCTCTTCACGGGATGTCTAGGTACCTGTCCTGACTTTCCTCCACCTGTTTGACTGACCAGTTCTCTGTTTTCTTTGCTGGTTCCTTTTCCTCTTCTTGACCACAGACTTTGGGTATCCCCAAAAGCTTTATCCTTGACTTCTCTCTTCTTTTCCCTGAATTCTTACCCTTTCTCCTACCATTGGTCTACGTATCACCTCTAACTGGAAAGCACTCAAATTCTTAACTCCAGGCCTAAGATATCATCACCATATGCCAATCAGCTGTAAGGGCTTTTTCATTCAATTGTTCCACAGTCACCCCAAACTTAATATGTCTCATGCATAACCACAAATACCTCCAAACCACAAGTAAGTCACTCTTCCCTTCGTCTCTATCCCATAATGACATCTCTTTTCCTCTTCTAATCACATGCAGCCAGAAATCACCAAACCCTGTGCGTCTTGGTTTAACTTGCCCACCACTCTTGGCATCCATTCTTCTCTCCCACCGTGACCTCAGTCCTCCGCTCCATCTCTCTGTCAGATAAACCATCCTAAAACTGTCTCCCATTAAATAGCAAGTCTGATGGAGAAAGGACCTCTGGACTAAGTGGGTGTGCTGGTCACGGTAGTGTTGGCAGGGAACAGCATCTTTAAAGAAGAGAAGGGGGCAGGCTAAATCCCCATGGCCCCCAGCAAGAAAGATGAAGAATACAGGAGCTCATCACCCAGACCCGTGACCAGTCCAGGCGGAGGAGAGCTCTGCCTCCTTCCCTACCCAATTCCTTTCTCTTGAAAGTGCTCTTTTGGTCCATTAAGATCCTCCCTGTACTTTAGAGCCAAAGCCAGTGCTCCTTCTCCTTTGTGAATTCTTTCCCTACTATGTCAGTTCCTTCTGCAACCCCTTTAGCATCTCCTTGATGTGATCAAATGTTGCCTGACATTGACGTTTAACTGTTTCAGTTGAGCATGTCTTAGATCACCTTTCCTCCAGGCATGAGGAAGAATATCCTCTGCTGTGTTCTAGAAAAATTTTAAGGTGGCACGACTGAATTATCAATGATTGGAGGAAAGGAATCATAGCTTATAATGCCCTTGTGGTCTCAGTGCTCTGACAAAGAACCATGCATACAGTAGGCAATTAAAGACATTTATTTATTGAACAGCTACTTTGTTCCAGACACCAGTCTACATAACGACATACAATGAACAAAAGAGACCAAATTCCTACCCTAACAGAGTTAATTTTTCAATGAGATGAGGAGGAATAGAAGGAGAGTGGCAGAGAAGGATCATAATATATTATAAAATACTATTTTATATATTTTAATGCACATTTCTAATTATTGTAAATTATTATAAAATATATAAGTAAAGAATTAGCAGGAGCTAATTATATGGTCTGTTAGAAGTTGATAAATGCTGTAGAGGCAGATAAAGCATGGAAGGGAGATAGAGAATACAAGCCACAGGGGCAGGGAGCAATTTTAAATCAGGTCCTCAGGGAAGGCCTCTTTAAAAAGGTAACGTCTGAGCAATTTCTTGAAGGAGGTAAGGAAATGTGGCTCTTTGGGTGAGGAGCATTCTCAGCACTGAGAATAGCAAGTTCAAAGACCCTGAGGCACGACCATGTTTGGAATATTGTAAAAAGTGCAAACAAGTCACTTAGACTGGGGCAGAGTGAGAGAAGGGAGGGTGATAAGAGCTGAGGTCTGAGAGGGAACTGGGTTCAGAACATGTAGAGCCTTGCTGGACATTGTAAGAACGTCAGGTCTTATTCTGAGTGAGATCGAAATTACTGGAAGGTTTTTCATTGGTGGAGTAACTTCTTCGGATCACTCTGGCTGCTGTCAGATTAAACAATATGTGGCAAGGGTGGAAGCTTGGAGATTAGATAAAAGAAACTGTGACCCAAGAGAATGGTGGAAGTGGCTTTGACCAAGGTGGTGGAGATCAGAAGGGGTCTCATTCTGGAAATATCTTGAAGGCAAAACCAATAGATTTTGTGGATTGATTATGGAATAGGAAAAAAAGAACAGATTCAAGGATGATTCCAGGGGTTTTGACCTGGGCAAATGGAAGAACAGAATAGCAGTTAACTGGGTCAGGGAAGACCGCAGGATACTTGAGGGGAACGACTGATGTTTAGTTAAGGTTCTCCAGAGAAACAGAACCAATAGGATGTGTGTATACATAGAAAGAGATTTATTTAGAGGAATTGGCTCACACGATTATGGAGGCTGAGAAGTCCAAAATCTGCAGGGTAGGTCAGCAGGCTGAAGACCAGAGAAGAGCCAATGCTGCAATTCAAGTGTGAAGGCCATCTGCTGCCAAATTCCCTCTTGCTTGGGGGAGGGTCCATCTTTTGTTCTAGTCAGGAGTTCAACTGATTGGATGAGGCCACCCACATTATGGAGGGCAATCTGCTTTATTCAAAGTCCACTGATTTAAATGTTAATCTCATCCAAAAACATCCTCAGAAACATCCAGAATAATGTTTGACCACATATCTGGGCACCGTGGCCCAGCCAAGCTGATATTTAAAATTAACCACAATTGTGACTCCAGCTTCCGAAATGTTAAGTTTGAGATGCCCATTGAATATACGTGGAGATGTTGAGTAGTAAGTTGGGTAGAGGAGTGTTGAGGGCAAAGAGGAGATCAGGCTGCAGATGGAAGTTTGTGAGTCATCGATAAGTGATTTTTAAAACCAGACCTGAATGAGATCATCAAAGAAAAGGGTGATAAGGAAGAGATACAAGGACTTAGCTTGGGGTATTTCAACATTGAGAAGATTGGAAAATGACGATTAATGAGCAAAGGAGATTAAGAAGAAGCAACCAGTGAGATAAAAAGAACAAATACCTATGATAGCTACATACATTGCATAATGAGTGAATATACGTGTATCAAATACACAAGTGAGTCAATAAATGAAACAGCAATAAGTTAGAATTCAAGTATATGTTTAACAAATAGCATCCCATTTAATCATGGAATAAAGAAAAGGAAATCCACTGTGAAAAGTAACAGTCATGGTTTTATCTGAAAGGCAGTGACCCAGAGGCGAGGGCACACATTTAATAACCTGTGGAGAGAAATATCACTTGCCCTTTAGAAAAGAAAGAAAATAAAATCACGAAAGATGCAGTCACCTATCTGGAAAAGCAAGTAGGATGAGCTCATTTAAATGAACTTTATTTTCTTAGCAGAATCTACTTGCTTCTTAAAGGACCTCTAAATGTCATTTCCCCCCCAGACAAATGTGTCTTGAAAGCCCCATTTCTGCCGCTGCCTGAGCCCTGTCTGTGATAAAGCATCCGCAGCGACACGCTCTCTTTTCCATCTAACACCTCCTTTCCGAAGCTTCCCTCCTTTCTTTGGCCCCAGTGGAGGGTAATAAAGCTCTGGGAATATGCTGTTAAGAGCAACCCGCTGCTTTGCTCCTAACTTTATGGGTGATAAGGAAGCATCTTCTTGTGTCAGTAATTTTGATAGCGGAGACCCAGTCTCAGCAAACGTTTTCCAGAAAGGGTCAGAATGTGAAGACTTTGGGCTCTGCAGGCTGCACTGTCTCTGTCGCAACTCCTCAACTCTGCTGTCCCAGTGGGAAAGCGGCTGTGGACGGCGCGGAAACGAGCGGCCGTGGCCGAGTCCCCACAGAACTTGGTTCACTAAAGCGGGCGGGCGGCAGACGAGATGCGGCTCTGGGTCTGCAGTTCGCTCAACACGAGCACAGACGGTGGACCACTCCCTCTGAGCATCGGTCACCTGCTCACCTTTGAGGACCAATTTTTACTACCATAATGAGCCCACGCAATACAGGAAAAGCAAACTAGCATTTTGTTGTTGTTGCTGCTGCTTTTATGGTGGATATTTCTTAACTAAGAATAGCCACATTTAAATGTTAAACAAAGCAGCTGTGTTGACAAAGGGTTATGGAACCAGTGCATCCCTCACTTCCCCAGGGCTCCTCTGAGCACATCCCAGCACAGGACTATCAAATGGTAAAATGGGAAATTACATTACCTGTTATGTAATAGCATAACCACCTGTTAAAATACATGGGTATCTCTTTTGCCTACAATATATTTTCCCCGGCGTTAATCTGAAAAGGCCGGAGGAAAAAGAAATTTGAATTTTAATGCGCTATCCTCTTTGCTTTTGTCATTAAGTTTCTAAGTACAAATCTGACTCTTCAAAGCTGCTCTCTATTTAATTTAGCCACAGTTGAACGGACCCTTCTCTTTAATGGTACCTGTAAAGGATTTCACGTATTTCTTTCCACGTCTCTTTCAAGATGCAAATTCAAAGAAAGATTTTCTGTCTATGGCAGTTTTGATATAAAGAATCCATTAGCAAACCTGAAATGTGTAAATTGCACAGGATCCTCTAAGATGTGGCTCAAATTGTCAGGGCAGGACATCTTCTCCCAGAAGGTTAATGTAGAGAGACGGTACTTGTTTCAACAAAGCCCTGAAAATAATACCCAGGCAATCACTTCCATGATCAAAAGATGGATTGCTTTTTATTGCAGAAGTGTATTATGATATGAATGACTAAAAGACAGTTTTATTCCTCCTTTATGGCATTTTCCTTGGCAAACATAGAATTAAAAAGCATTCTGAATCTACCCTTCAGAAATGCCTGTGTTCACAACTCATCTGCTTTAACTCAGGCCAGATAGATGACAATTGTTTTCATTACGCCTATGGGGTATTTTGCTAACATTTTGTGATAAAACCATCATCATCTTACACAACCTACACTCTGTAAGATGTGGAAAATGGGACTATGGATTCACAGATGAAATGAAGGCAATGGTTAAACTTAAAACATCATTTTGGACTACTGTTTTTCTTTGTTTCCTCCGTTAAAAAAAAAAAACGTCAGCCACAGCTTTATCAGTGTCATAGATACTATTATCTTGAGATGCTCCCCTGGCCTGATTTTTTTTTTTTTTTAAAGATTGGCACCTGAGCTAACAACCGTTGCCAATCTTCTTCTCTGTTCCACACTTCTTCTTCTCCCCAAAGATCCCCCAGTACATAGTTGTATATTCTAGTTGTAGGTCCCTCTGGTTGTGCTATGTGGGACACCGCCTCAGCATGGCCTGATGAGCAGTGCCATGTCTGTGCCCAGAATCGGAACCAGCGAAACCCTGGGCCGCCAAAGGGGAGCTCACGATCTTAACCACTCAGCCGTGGGGCCGGCCCCCCTAGCCTGATTCTTAATACTTGTCAGTGGTCTGTACAGTTCCTACCTAAATGGTTTTTTCCCTAGGGATACGATGTCTAGCTATTTGCTTTCCATGCCTTTTGTCAGAACAGTCACACTACGGTATGACATTTGATGTAATCACGTTTTGCCTGTTGTTAGAAAATTAACACGTGGACCCTACAAGGTTATTCTCCATTCTAAGGCCAGTGAAGTGCTTGATCCAAACACTCTTTAAGAGGGCTCCCTTCACCCGAGGGGCTGACCCGGACTTGACAGAAGGGAGAAACAGGGACAACTGATGAATTAGAGTGTCCAAGGCTTTCATATATTCCATCTCCTTGAATCCTCAACCCTTCACGGAAGATGCTGTTATCCCATTTTACAGAGGGGAACAATCGGGTCTCAAAAGGGCTAACTTGCCCACAGTCACACATCTTTTAATTGGAGGTTTGAGCCCATGTTTCTCCAATTTCAAATGATGGGGGGGGGTAAGTTAGGTACATAAGGTTAAATTATATTTTTTTAATAATTAAGTTTGTCACTATTAAGCTACAAGGAATAAGGTCTTCAAGATTTTAAAAAAGAAAACATACACTCAGTATAGAATCCTCCTGCAGCACTGACCTGTAAGCCTCAAGGTGCATCAGATATGAAGGTATGTTCCTCCTCCTTCTTGCTCGGACTGGTGTTCCATTACCCACTGCCCGGGCTGAGACAGGTGGAAAGTTGAAGGGTGGGCTTCTCAATGAGAGCTTCAGGCTCTAGAACAATCCGACTTGCTGAGTGTCCACCTCCTACTGAAACCTAGCGTTAAGGACACGTTGACCTTGGAGATAATGTCATATTCTCCAACTCCAAGGCAGTGGGCCCCACAGAAAAAGACACTGGTGGTTACTCTTCCCTAATCATCATGGGATTTGTCAACCTTGATTCAAAGTTGATGTAGAATTTCATCCTTTTCTTTAGAAACTGGTCAGGCAGCCTCAACAAGCTGCCTCGATGACTAGCTATGCTACCCCTTGTCTTGTCCAAAGGGAGCCTGCCATGTACAGTATACAGCAATTCT